TCGTCAAACCAAGAACTGCATCGTCATAGTCATGCAAACGCTGTATCAACAAAATATCATTTACAGGTGCATCAGCAGTGAGCCTGCGTGAAAACCATGACTGAAGATAAACACAAATGATAAACCGATTCAAACGTTGAATACCTTGTAATTCTCGAGCTATTTAAGTTAAAAATGGTTTTATTTACGGTGAATAATAGTTCAATTTTTAATGCGTAGATGGCTTTTGCCATCCATCGTGCCCTGTGCCGTGCACCAGGTTTGCGAATGGCTACATAAACTTGCAGTTCAGCTATTTGTGCAGCAAGAAGTAGAAACTCTAAATAGTCATCTCGAGAATGTCTGACCTCAAGTTGACATTTGATGAATGCTTTAATTGCATCTGAAACAATTATCAAAGGGGTTGATCTGGCTTCCGGTGTGTGATTCATTTCTGTCCATTTTTCACGAAACTTTTTGAAGAATAAAATTTCTGGTCCAGTGGATGTTCCAAGACAAACACTATATACACCGGCAAGCAGCACTTCAAACTTATGATGACGGCAAGCCATCCATACTAAATTACGTCCAATGGCTTTTTCTAGAAGAGTGCAAGCTTCATTGAGTTTTCCAGTATTGGAAGCTGTCGTGTCAAAGCACATGCCAATAACCATTGATTCACATTTTCAAGATTTTATATGTTCATGAACTGCATCAGCAGCTGCTCGTCCTAATCCAGATGCTAACCTTGGAACTCCAAGAAGTTTTGTACTGCCATCAACAAGTGATGAGAGCAGGACAGGTAACCAATCTACGTTGACAACACCAGTAACATTGCGAGTTGACTGGTTAAAAATATACATTTTTTGCATTCTCTAATAAAGATTATCATTCTACAGGTAATTGTTAATAATATTTTAAACTATAATTAATGTCTGCAGTGAGATAATTAAACTAGTTTGCATTTCTAGCTTTATTTCACTCATTTTGTGCATATTGTTTAAGATTTTTGATATGGATTTTGAATTAACTCGATAGTAAAATTTTAAAAGCCTTTGGGGGACCTCTCAAACTTG